TTGACAAATGGTAGCTGCTGTTAGAAAATCCATTGAAGCTTGAATTAGTGCTCAAAGTAACCATCTTAATCTAGATTCCTAGCAAAATGTCCCTTTTTCTTTAAAAAAAATATTTTATTGATATTTTACAGAGAGGAAGGGAGAGGAATAGAGAGTTAGAAACATCGATGAGAGAGAAACATTGATCAGCTGCCTGCTACACACGCTCCACTGGGGATGTGCCCGCAACCAAGGTACATGCCCTTGACCGGAATCGAACCTAGGACCCTTCAGTCCGCAGGTTGACTCTATCCACTGAGCCAAACCAGTCAGGGCGAAAGTGTTCCTTTTTCTATTGGTTTCAGATTGTACTTTTAATTTTTATGTCAACAATCCCATCCTGTATGTTTTAATCTTCTAGATGGCCTCAACTCTTCTGTGGGAGACAAATGGGGAGGGAATAAAGAAGAGAAGTGAATCCCAGTTACCATGTGCCATTCTTACTCCCTCAGCATCCGCTCCCAGGTTCTAACCCAGCCCAATCCACCCCGACCCACTGGCTGACGGCGTGTCCTTGGAGCAGTCACCCTGGAGGAGAGTCTGTCCCATGATGTGACTGCTGCAGATCAGGGCCCAAATAGGTCGCTGCCTGTAAATCCTTCAGAGACTGTCTGATCGACCCCTCACCTGTGCCCCAGCCAGGTGTGCTGGTTCCTGGGTTCCTGGGACAGGCCAGTGCCCTACCTAGGCAAGTATGTAAGGCATTTTGCCCTTATCTGGGCCGGGTCACACCCAGTACCACCACTCACCCTGCTCTGTTCTAGATCATTCTTTACTGCCTGCCACACGGGAAGGAGGCTGTTCCTTCATCTTGCCAAGATGCCCCTCGTAAGGTCCCTTAATAAACTCTCGATGTAGGGATGGAATGGCCAGCCTCTCTCTTTGGTCTTGGGCACTTCAGAGGCATGGTGTTTTGTCGGCTACTGTGTGGTTTGATCCTGTTCTTTGTCTTATTCTGGCCCCTGATGGGCATCCCCAAGTGCAGGAAATAAACGCAGAGTTTGGAGTCTGTTTGCCCATATCCCCTGAAGCAGCAGAATGCAGTGGTCAGGTGGGTCTGGGATCAGGTGGGTCTGGGGTCAGGTGGGTCGGGGTCAGGTGGGTCTGGGCTCATGTGGGTCTGGGGTCAGGTGGGTCTGGGGTCAGGTTGGTCTGGGATCAGGTGGGTCTGGGGTCAGGTGGGTCTGGGATCAGGTGGGTCTGGGGTCAGGTTGGTCTGGGATCAGGTGGGTCTGGAGTCAGGCTCCAGAGCCTCAGTGACAGAGAAGCAGCCTCCCACCCCTTGCAGGGCTGCAGGGACCTGCACCCAGGGTCATATCCCCGACAGAGGCAAGTAGCCTGGTCCCCTAGCCCACAGGACGTGGGGACTTCTTTGGGACTCTGTGACGGAAGGGACAGGGTCCTTCCCCAGGCCCATGACCCCCGTGCACCCTGTCTGCACAGCCATTTCTGGTCTCCCCTCGCCCTGTGTGTGTAGCTTTCTGCATGAAGCTGTGAGCCCTGGCCGGCCACAGGAGCCTGTGGGCTCAGCTGCAGCCTGGGTGGGAACTCGAAGCGGAAGTTCCCCCTCAACCCATTAGCACCTCTGCCTCCCCAGTCCCTCCTGGCTTTCCTGTGTGGCCAGCCAGGGCCCTCACCCAGAGCTCGTTTTGCATGTGGTTGTTAAACTTTGATTCGTGACTCATGCTGAGGCTCAGGCTTGAATGCCTCCCTCATTTGATTGCTTTCTTCCTTTCCTTGTTTTTTTTTTTTAACCCAAAGCAAAAGTACCTTTGCAGCTGAGCGGGACCGTGACATCCAGGAAGTGGTGCTCGGGCATAAGAAGTCTCCCCACAGCCACGTGGCGTCAGTGACACCTGGGTCACGGGGAAGAGAGGGCAGCGCGGCAGCTGGGCAGCCCGGAGGAACGGAGGCCCCTGGAGTCCCCTGCGAAGGCCGCAGCGACAGGCTCTGCTGGTGAGTGCACGTCCCTGGCTGTCAGGCGGTCAGACACCGCGCAGCCTTGTGTGCGGAGAGACCGAGCATAAGGGGCCGGAGGGGTGCAGGTTGGAGAGCAGTTCTTGGAGGAGGAATCTATTTTCTCACACCTTAAATCCTTGTAAGTGCTCAGATGGGGGGAAAGAATGGTAAGCATTTTAAATTTCCTTGAGGTGAAATCCTTATTTATTTCAGCAAAGTTGTCTTTTATTTCAGGATGGTTTTTGTGGGAGAAAGATTAATCAGAGGAAGCTGCCTGGTTTCAGTAAAAACTTCTGCTGTAGTCTCTGGAAGGATTTTAATTTTATGAAATCAGAAGGAGTGATCTAGAACATTTTAAACCTGTGCCTAGCTCTTGGAGGCATCTTCTAGATTAGAGATTGATGTGTGGGTGTCAGTTTCCTGGCCAATCAGGGACAGAGGCAGCAGAGCAGCTCAAACACCGTCTCCTCTAGAGGGTGGCTCTGTGGGCTTCCAGAGGCCCATGAGGATGCTGAAATGCAGTTTAATCTGACGGCAGTGCAGACAATTTTGGCCAATTCTCTGCTCCCATTAGAAGCCTCAGCCATGCCCCCAAGACTATAAACTCTTCCCCAAGGCCCAGGGAGGCCAGCTCAGGAGTGCCAACACCTGACCTGTGAAGAGGCTGGGAGTGGAGGATAGTAGAGGGTTTTGTTTTTTTGGAACGTTGCTTCAGAGTTGCCGTGGGCTACGGATCAGGGTGTACATACTCACATGTACACCCAAAGTAGCCTGTAGCAAGCGACAAGTTCAAGGAGATAACCAAGGGCCAGGCCAGTCTACCCACACTCATAGCAGCAATTCACAGCAGCCGAAAGGTGGCAGCAACCCTAGTGTCCCCTATCCAATGAAAGGCTAAACAGAATGCAGCACATACACACAATAAAACACGATTCAACCTTAAAATGGAAGGACATTCTGACACATGTTACAACAAAGGTGAACCTTGAGGACATTGTGCTAAGTGAAATAAGCCATCACAGAAGGACAAATGCTGTGATTCCATGAGAGACTGAAAGTAGAAGTGTGGTTGCCAGGGATGAGGGAAAAGGGAGAGGGAGTTAGTGTTTAATTGGTATAGTTTCCACTGGGGAAAGCGAAAAAGTTCTGGAGATGGATGATGGTAGTGATGCTTGCTTAATGCTACTGAACTGCACTCTTAAAAATAGTTAAGATGATAAATTTTATGTATATTTTACCACAACTGAAAAAATTGTAACTCCCTTTTAAAAAAAAAAAAAAGGCCTGGGCTGAAGTCCTTGCCTTTCCGTAACTTCCCCAAAATCTAACTGACTCCAGTGAGAGCTCTAGAGCTGAGCTGAACGGGGCAACTTCCGCCTGGACTCCATTTAGAAAAACTTTCTCCCCATCACAGTGGAGCTGGCAGAGGTGACTGGGATGGACTTGGGGGTCTGAGGCAGTGTGTTGGATGTGCTCACTCTGGGGCCCATGTGTGGGTGCACTCTGCTCTGAAGCCCTGAGCAGCCCTGGGGAGCACCCTCTGACCTGGGAGATGGTGGGAATCACTGCTCTTGGGAGTCTGGTCTCTCTCTCCCACTTATTAGCTGTGGGATCCTGGGTAAGTCAGCAAAACCTCTCTCCTCCTCGGTTTCCTCACCTGCAACATGAGCAGCCCTTTCTACCTACCAGGATGTTAGCTTTTCCAAAGATAGTACACAAGGAAGTGCCTTCTAACTATAAAACGCTGCACAGGTGAGCTACCGGCTCACTACAGGTCTCCCCTCTCATTTCCTCCTCCTCTTTCCCCTTTATTCCTGTCCTCAGGGGCCCTTCCAGACCACTGGGATGGATTGGTTGATTCTAGAAGGGCCAGGTCTGATCTGACTCCCATGGCCCACCTGTGAGGTCACTCCCCCGCTTCCTTCCACGCTGTTTAGTTAGGTCACCTCTGACCTGGGCTTCTACCTGAGCAGCAGTCACCCGCACTGCTCGCCACAGGAGAGTGTCACCGTGCTGACCCTCGTAGGAGCCCTGAGGAGACATGGAAGGCTTGCAGTGTTACTAATCAGTGGTGCTGTTGTTGACTTCCAGTCAAGATTGAGGAAGAAAGCTCAAGTGAACTCGTTCAGTTTCAGGTCTTAAAAATAGGAAGGAAAAGAAGCCGGCCCTGTTACAGCTCAAAGACCATCCCCTCTGAAGGGAGAGATGTGACCCGAGGGCCCGAGAACAGCCCCCAGCCCAGGTTTCTCCCTTATTTGGAAATTTTCAAAGGAAATGAAATTGATTTTAAAGCCTCAAGGGGGGCAAAGCCTCTGAAGTGGGCAGATGTTTCTGTTAAGCCTCTTCAGAGAGCGGCTGTGTGGGGACCTGAGCGCTCTGCAGGGAGCTGCTGGGGGCAGGGCCTCGCGTGGCCACTCACTCCCACCCTGGGTGAGAGCCCGAGGTGTTTTATCTTGAAAGTGTTCATGTTCCTGTCATTGCAGAATGCAAGGTTACAAAACTCACGCGGACTCTCCCAGTAGCTATTACTCTGTGGCCAGGGAGGTCACCTGACCTGTCACCGTTGGGTTGTCCCTTTGCAATAACTAGGTGTTGCCTCCATCCTGAACACAGCTCAAAGCAGTGCGTTTCTTTTGGCATCTACCTGTGGTCAGTCTCTGCCATTTACGAGCTTTGTGCCCCTTACTCAGTGCCCCTCTGAGCCTGTTTCTTCACCTATGCAAAGAGAGTACTTTCATCTACCCGCCTACCCACCAGAGATCATGGAAAGTTCAAGCAAGCGTCTCTACATGAAAGCGATGTGGAAACAATGAGGAACTATGTGAAAAGGACTTTTCTGTTCGGGTTGCTTGTTTCTGTCTTTCTTCTCTTCTCTCTGACTTTAGTCCCGTCCTGCTAATCTCTCTCTCCTCCTCCTCTTCCATTTCTCTCTTTCTTCCAAACCAAAGTAAGTGCTACAGTGCACGCGTTAGCAGGAAGGGCTGGAGTGGGACTGGAGCTGGAGCTATTGGGACTGGTAAGGCTCCTTGGAGGATGTGACAGTGGGGCTGGGCCTGGTGGAAGGGTGGGTGCTCCCAGCAGAGGGAAGAGCCAGAGAAGAAGGCCTGCTGGCCTGGGAGACAGTGAGCGACTCCTGGTGTGAGGCTGGGCTGTCAGACTGGGTGAGTGCCCTCCTCCTCCATGGAGACTGGACCCCAGCCCAAGGAAACAGCTGTCCTGAGAGGGGACTGGTCACTAGTTAAGAGTAGAAGGAGAGGCTGGACTACAGGTATGTGACGAAGGATATTGAAGGTGGGCCTGGCCCAGTGGGGGAGGGCCTTTAGGCTCATGCTGTAGAGTTTTGACGTTTGCTCTGTACAGGACGGAGGCACAAGGACGTGTTGGAGAAGATATACGAAGTCTTTAGTCAGTGCACTCACTTGATTGGAGCTGTGGATGACAGGTTGGAGAGGAGCCCCTGGGAGAGGTGACATGGCCGGCTCTGAGAAAGGCCCGTTCTTCCTTCCTTGGTTCTCTGGATCTATGAGGGCCCTTCTAGTCTCTCCTTTTCCTCAAAGGAAGACGAGTCATTCCTCACCTGTGTTTTTTTGTTTGTTTATTTGTTTTTTTGTGTTTTGTTTTTTTTGTGCCCTTTACCAGAATTGAACCTGGGACCCTTCAGTCCACAGGCCAATGCTCTATCTACTGAGCCAAACCGGTTATGGCACCTCACCTGTGTTTTGAAAACACATTTTTTAATCAAAACTATTGTGTTTATCATCATGATTGATGGCTTATTATTTACATTTGTTGTCTGTTTCCCCGAATAGGTTCTGAATGAATGGAAATTAGACTGTTTTATTTTGTTTTCATAGAACTGGGTTGCAGAACAGTAGGTGATCAGTGTATGTTATACAAATGAATGAATAGATGAATGAATGAGTGAATGAACGCACTGGAGTGGTGGTGCTGTGAGTGTAAAAGAGAGGATGGTCACGGAAAATGTCCAGGATGTAGAAGTAATGACATTTGAATGTAGATGTGAGAGAAAGGGAAGAGTCAAAAGTGACTGAGATTCTTATTTGGGCCTCTGGGAGAAGCCATTCAGTGAGATTCAGAACCAAGAAAAAATACATATGAGGAGAGAAGGTAATTTCAGCTTTGGACGTTTACTAAAGGAAAATCTAGTAAACTCAGGTAGAGTAGGCCCTATGCCAAGTATTGGTAATTCTGAGACAAATAGATCAGAGTGCAGTTCGCAGATTCCTGGGAAATAGGTAAGAATTCAGTGTGTCATGACAGGTGTGAGCAAAGTGCCTGGTGGGTGAGATGATCAGCCTCTCATTCTGTCTGTGGAGTTAAGGGTGACTGCTTGGAGTGCATTTGAGCTGCATCTTGAAGTTTGCCAAACTAAAGAGCACTCCAGGTGGAGAGGAAAGCATGCACAGTGATGTGAATGTTCTGGAAAACTTGGGGAGCCGGAAGGGATTCAGCATGGCTCCAGAGAAAGAGCTGGTGGGCCAGGGGTGGGTGGTGAGGTCGACAGGTGACAGACAGCCCAGCAGCCTGCTCAAGAATCCAGTGCCTTTCTTGTAGTCAGCACGAGGACAGAGGGTAATTATAATCAGGGGGTGATATGGGCACAGGCAGGGGGGTGACGGTGACAAATGGGCACAGCAGAGGCCTCTCTGTCCAGGAGTCTGGCTGAAAAGTGCCCCTCACCTGCCAGACCCTGTCACTGCTGGCTCTGTTCGGGTTCCAGCACTACAGGGAGAGGCCCAGCACGAGGATGAGGAGCCGAGCTGGGAAGCTAGAAAAGAGATGCGGATCCTCCAGGGGACTCCTGTGGGAGACTAAACTGAAGGTCAAGACCAAAATCAATGGCACGAAGGTTCCGTTGAGCGTGATTTGTAACAGGGAGAAACGGAAGGCAATGTAAATGTCATCATTTGGCATATGGTTAAACACCATTCCTTCCTTCCTTCCTTCCTTCATCCATCCATCTATGCATCCATCCAATAAAGACGCATCGAGGTTCAGCTTTGCCAGGCCCCCGTTCAAAATGCTAGCCTTGAGTTGTTTGGCTCAGTGGATAGAGTGTCGGCTTACGGACTGAAGGGTCCCGGGTTCGATTCCAGTCAAGGGCATGTACCTTGGTTGCGGGCACATCCCCAGTAGGGGGTGTGCAGGAAGCAGCTGATCGGTGTTTCTCTCTCATCGATGTTTCTAACTCTCTATTCCTCTCCCTTCCTCTCTGTAAAAAATCAATAAAATATATTTTAAAAAACCAAAATGCTGGAGATGCAGTGGGAAGCAAAACAGATAAACAGGCATGGAAAGATTTCCATAACTAATTTTTTAATAAGAAAAGCAAGTTGTTGAACGTTACATACAGGACGGCACTATTTATGTTAAAAAACATCCTCCTAGGACAATACATCTGTGTGTCTATTAGATATGCAAATAAATGCATAGAAAAAATTCTGGGAGAGTGCAAACAAATACTCAGCCGGAGAGGCAAGTGGGATTTGGGGTGTGTCCGAAGAGACAGTATATCTTTTTATTCTTATCCTTCTGCATTGTTTCGCATTTTCACAGTTAATTTATTTTCATGATTATGTCTGTATTCTAAGATGTTTTTTGAAAGATGCCGGTCTTTGTGAGCAGATGAGAGAGGGGCCCAGTCGGTCCAGAGTGTCCCATTGGTTTGATCATCTTCTTTATGTAAACATCTGGCTGCAGGCCCCCATCAGCACACCCCTCCCCACAGAGGTGTGGGCCACGCTTGAGGGGAAAGGATGGCATTTGGATTAGGACCTTTTAGAGGTTCGGTATGGTCTCAATTAATTGCTCGGGAAAGCTGAGCCAGTGCATAGAGTTGAATTTGGGTGCACTTGCTGGGCATAGAATTTGCCAGGGGCATTTTTCCGTAAGCCGAGGAGCTGTATTACTTTACCAGGATGGCCATAACAAAATACCACAGATCGGGTGCTCTTGATCATATATATAATTTGTTATGTGTTATATGTTATAATAATATTTTATGTAATAATATATGCTATTATGTAATATTTTATTTATTATTATGATTGTGTCAATGCTGGGAGCTGGAAGTCTGAGATCAAGGTGCAGGCAGGGTTGGGTCTCCTGAGACCTCCCTCCATAGCTTGTAGATGGCTGCGTTCTCTTTGTGTCTTCCCATGGTCTTCCTTCTGTAGCCATCTGTGTCCAAATCTCCTCTTCTTACAAGGACACCAGGCATATTGGTTCAAGGACCTCTTTTTAACTTAATTACCTCTTTAAAGACCCCCATCTCCAATTATTTTTTTTAATCTTCACCCAAGGATATTTTTTCCATTGACTTTTAGAGAGAATGAAAGGGAGAGGGAGAGACGGAGAGAAACACTGATGTGAGAGACACATTGATTGGTTGCCTCCCACATGTCCCTGATCAGGGCTGGGAGCCTGCAACCCAGGTACGTGCCCTTGACTGGAATCGAACCCAGCACCCTTCAGTCCGCAGGCCAATGCTCTATCCACTGAGCCAAACCAGCTAGGGCCCATCTCCAAATTTTGTCACATTTTCAGGTATTGGGGCTAGGGCTTCAAAATATGAATTGGCATGGACCCAGTTCACCCATGACCAAGCCTCAGAAGCGTTTCTCTGGCCCCTGTGCCAATGTCCCCAGTCCTGAGGGCCTTCTCGGCGGCCCTGGGTGCCTCTGGCTAGGGATCCTTGCCAGGGCGCTGTGCGAGCAGCGTGATTGCATCTGTGGCTCCCCAACCACACCGAGCAACTGAAAATCCCCCAGGGGGCCAGGCGTCCTCAACACGATTTCCTGACAGATAAGGCGCAGAGGGAACGTAGTTCATTTGCCCTCAGTAACCTCACAGCCAGCCAGGCTGCCCAGAAAACGCCTGATGGATGCTTTTTCTCTTTAGCTCATGCCGGTGGGGCTCTGCCAGGAGAAAGCCAGGGGCAAGACCCTTGCCAGGGGCCTGGCTGGCACAGCATGGAGCACTCCAGCAAGATGGAGTTTTTCCAGAAGCTAGGCTACGACCGGGAGGATGTGGTCCGGGTACTCGCCAAGCTGGGCCAGGACGCCCTGGTCAACGACGTGCTGCAGGAGCTGATCCAGACCGGCAGCCGCCCCGGGGCCCACCTGAGCAGTGCTGCACCCCTGCTGGTCCCCAGGGGCTCCTGTGGGACCCCGGACTCCATCCGGCGCGGGCTGGGGGCCGATCCGGAGGAGGAGTGCGGGGGCCCAGCCAGCTCCTT